CAATCCCCTTGTTGTTCATTCAAATAAGACATTTTTAACTCTGCCTGCTGCCAGGGAGATTGTCACCCAGGGATGCATGTCTTCAAATAGCAAGTCATTGGTAAAAGCATTCTTTACAGAACATCTCAACAACTGCCTACACACTTGAATAATCTTTTTAAAGACATTAGTAAATAAGCAATTAAATTAATGGGGGTGGAGTGGGACCTGGACTTACGTCTGTGATTTTTAAGGGTTTCCATATGATTGTGATATACTGTGAATGTTGAGATCCAGAGATAAAGAGTCAAACGAGACATTTTAAAAGCAACACAAAACACCTGCTTGAGTATTGGGTTACCAGCACCACGTGCAAACACACAGGCATGTTTGAGGATAATCTGGGCTCACACGCCCACAGGGCAATCAGTTCTTTCATTGTCCACCAGTCAAGTCTCAGGTGTCCTGCAAAATGCAGGGGATAATAAAATCCACTTAGCGGGTAGTGTAATCATTTTATTAACAGCAATTGCCATAAAGCATGATTTAGTTTTAAAAGTAAATACGCTACTGTGATGTGATTATCCTGTAGGGACCAGTTCTCATTATTCAGTTTTAAAATGTCACTTTACAGTGTTTAAGGGAGAAAATAATAAAAGCTCACCATATTATAATCCACTCTATTACATCAATAAGATATGATCCACACACTTAGCCAAATTCACCACAAATAGTACAAAGTACAGGCAACATACATTTTGGAAGCTGATGCACCTCAATTTGGATCCCATCTCAATGGTCTATTTGATTTGGGGCATGTTTCTACCTAAGCCTCTATCTCCTTATCAGTAAAATGGTATCATAATGCTGACTCCACAGTTTGATGCCAGGAATAGCTCAGAGAATAAAAAAACTTTTTCTGTAAAGAGCCAGACAGTAAATATTTTAGACTTTATGGGTCAGACGGTTCTGTTACAGCTACTCAACTCTGCTGTTGTGGCCTCAAAACAGCCAGACGATATGCAAATCATCAGCGCAACTATATCCCAGGAAACCTTATTTACCAAGATGGGACACAGGCCACTGTTTTCTGACCCCTGACTTTGAGAATATAAGTTAAGCACTTAACATAATTCTGGACAAACTATAAGCTTAATAAATGGTATCCAGCACCGTGGCTCATGAAAGCGATAACAATGACCATGATGATGATGATACTATTACTATTGTTACTACCAATATTGTCAGGGAATCAAGAGACATGGGATCCTGTTCCACTCCTGACACTGAAGTTCTATGATTTGGGGTCCAGCTACTTCACCTCTCTGGACATTAGCTTCAAAGGATGACACCCCAGAGTAAGCCCAGCACTCCTTCCTGGGGTACACATATCTTCTATAAATCAAACAATCCACTAGAAATTCACTAACATTTGCAGCACTTTCCATCTCATCACTGGTTTCCCTCTTCCTATGAGCAATAACAAAGAATCTGGCTGATTGAATGGAGACTTCTCAGAGGTTAAGATGCCAAAGCACTTTCAGAAGCAAGGCCTCTTCATCCTCTAGTTATTTGGAACTTGACTGCAGCTGTCAAAATGAATAGACTCCAATGCACCAGTGTGTTTGATTTTCATCATAGGTTTTATCACAAGCATTATTGTTGGGTAAAAACATAGGCACTCCCTCAAGGAGATTAAATAAGGTGCATTCAAAGGCAATTTAAAAGATACCCCGCTGTCACACCCGCTATCATTCACAAATTAAAGACAGAATTAACAGCTGTAAGTTATAACAAGAACTGTAGTGAGTTAAAGTTTTTCAGAGCAAAAGTGTTGATGCATTACTGCTACAAATAAAAATTTAACTACAATCTACTAAAAAGGTATCGTTTATATAAGACAGTGAGCCTCAAGGTCTGGGTCACAGACCAGCAGCATCAGCCTCATTTTAACAATTTGCAAGAAATGCAGGATCTCAGGTCCTGGGCGCAGGGCTACTACATCAAAACCTAGGTGAGGAGCCCAGCAATCTGCGTTGCAACAGTCCTGCAAGTGATCCTATTGCATTCTAATGTCTGAGAACCACTGACTCAAGTGACAAAAGTGTCGCTGCACATGGTCCTTATGTATCCACGCAGTTTTACAACAGGCAACTGATGTTCTCCTGTGCATCACCCTCCCTCCCTTCTTTGGGCAGTCGTACCATGATTTTCCTTTGGATAACCCATTCCTCAGTGCATATGGTTCTGAAGAATCTGCCCATCAAAGACCCCTATTCTCTTGCAGCCAAGGGGTGAGCACGTAACCCAGGTGGGCCAGTCTCTTTTCTCCTGGAAACTTCAATTTTGAGTGGATTGGAGCAGCTTCATCATAGCAGCTGGGCGCTAAAGAGAATGTCTATTCATTCCTGCTTACTAGCCCCTGAGAGTTGCCAGGACCCTGTCCTTGCCAAGCGCTGATGATTACACATTTCCCTCCATCATATGAGCTACATCATTCCATAAGAAGCTGCCAGGGTTCATTGCAGTGCCTTACAACCACAGACTAATTAACAAAGACATTTTAATTGCATAAGAGGACCAAGTACCTGAACAGTGAAGACTGTTGCTAAGCTGTTCAGCCTGACCAAACTACAGGAAGAACATCCAAACACTGAGCAGAACAAACCCCAGCATCCGTGATGGAGAGGGACGGAGGCCAGCAGCAAACCTGATCAGTATAAAGGGATGGAGGCCAAAGCAGATGGGATGAGAGCTGAGCCCAGGAAAAACACTGCAGGGCTGGCTCCAGGTGCAGAAGCTGCCACAAGCTCCCCTGCTGGCCACTGGCTCAGGGATGTGGCTCCCCCAGTCTCATCACTAGAGGAAGCTGACAAGGAACTATGCTGGGACCAGTCATTTAGGACTCATTGTGTTGCCAGTAGCCAAGTTCCCAGTCCAAACTGCCTTAAATGATGAAGGATGTTATTTGTTCACATAACCAGAGAGCCCTCAGGCTGGACAGAATTCAGGTCAATCTGAGGTTTCTGGTGGTTTAGAAACCATGGCTCAATCTCCCTAAAATTTTTTCAGCATTTCCCTCATTTCTTTGTCTGGATTCTCTCAGCAGCTCCTGGGCTAAACCTGAATGTTTCTCTTTCTTCAAACGTCGAACTTCTCCCCAGTGGGTCAAGAGCTGACTGGAAATTCGTAACAATGGTAAAGAAATGGGGTCAATTCCACTCAAATAGGAAAAGTGTGGAGGTCTGCTAGAGGACAGCGACTTGCTCCATGCAGACAGGTTGGGGAGTTTGACCTGCAGAACACTTTCAATTAGATTGTTTATAGCAAGAATGTGTTGGGCGAGAATGAACAGGTGGAATTTTGGGTGGTGGCCATGGAGTTGGCTGGTCAGGTCATTAAGGACTTTCCAAGCCACATACTGGTGTAGACATTAATGAACTAGAGGAGGGCTCAGCAAATATTGGGCTGTTGGAAAAGTCATGTTGCATTTTTGCAACGAAAAACATAGAAAAAATATGTCATAACTTTTCCAACAACCCAATATTTTTGGCTAAGGGCCAGACAGCAAATATTACAAGTTTCGTGGCCCATATAGTCTCTATTGTATCTAATCAACCCAACCCTGCTCTTATAACACAAAAGAAGCCACACATAATATGTAAATGAATGGGCTGGACTGTGTTGCCCTAACACTTGAATTTGGCCCACTGGCTGTACTTGGCTAATCCCTGAACTATAGGACCACATCGTGTGTTTTGCTAACATGAGGAAAACAGCGGATGAGGAAAAGCACCACAAACCAGCACCCACTTCGACCCTGATTTACCCTCCAGAGTTCTTTGACATTTGGCATGAAGAAACACCTTAATGTTTCTTCACTGAAGACCTGCATTATAAATGACAGCCTCTGTTTTTATTTGCCACCACATCTTCCATCCTGCAGCTGTTCAGAAGTCTTATAATAAAGGTCCATTTTTATCTGGGTGAGTCGTCCTACTCTAGTTCATGGTGTACTAGACCAGGGGTTGGCAAACTTTTGAGATGGTACCCAAAGAGCCACATGTTGCTCACGAGCCGCAGTTTGCCGACTCCTATACTAGACCAACACTGAGCACAGATAGCAAACACTTGTAATTTTACCAGGGCACCTCCTGGCCTTGGCAGCTGCCCTCAGGACATCTTTTCGCCCCCACCTCATGTCTCCTCTCCACCTGCTATCTAAATGGACACTTTCTCATCCACCACCACCTCTCACTAAACACACCCCAAAACAAAGTCTTCATCTTTCTGCCCAAACCTACTCCCATCCTAGCATCCTGTTGTCAGCCCCAATCCTACCATTAGTCTATGTCCTCTTGGCCTCCTCCTTCTCGATGACTTTCTGCTTTCAATAAGCCATCTGGTCCTGTTGGTTTCCCCCTTATTACTTCATTTATAATTGCCCCCTTCCTTCCAGTCCCATTGCTATCACTCTAATTTTGGACTATAATTACTCCACACCTTCAATTATAATTAGCCCCCTCACAGTTCTCTTCCTTCTCAGTTTTCCCTTCTCTAATTATCCTCGTCCATTCCACTGGGCACCCTACCTCTTAACAAGCCTTGCTAATAGGCTTTCACCATGCTGTGCCTCCCTTCTTGTTGATTTAGGGAACGCTTTAGAACCAAGACTCCCTGGGGCATAGTCTAAGTCCCATAAAACACTGTGTTGGCTTCTGGGTATAGAGTCAGAGGCCTCGGTGCTATCCTGGTCCCTTTAATCCAATTCTGGGCTTCGTTGGTCACAGATGGATCTTTCTCACTATTTTCCTCATGGATGAACCAAGCTTCACCATCAACTTTAGAATCATTTTGGCCATCAGAGTTCTCCACACTTCTTGGCACTTGGGTCTCAAAAAATCATCTCTTGCAGTCTCATTCCAATCAATTACTAAGTCTTGCCAGTTATCAAACTTTAAAATTTACATATTCATCCCCACCATCATTTTCTTTTTGTAAGATCCACCAAGACAACTCACCTCCATAATAGCAACATCCTCCTATTTCCTTCATTTGTTTTCCATCTTCATCCAATTCATTTTTGTCACTGGAGCTGAAGTGATTGTAAAACAAACATCAAGTCATATTCCTGGTTAAAATTTTTAGTGGCTTTCTATTGCCTTTCTACATTAATTCTCAACTCTGGATCAATATTAGAATAACCTGAGTTTAAAATACATACAGAGGGTGCCAAAAAAAAGTATACACATTTTAAGAAAGAAAAACTGTATTAAAATTGTAATTATTCAATATATACCGATAACAAAAGATGAATATAAGTCACGTTTGACTTCTGCAATTACAAGAGGTGCTCAAAGAGGTTACCATCAGCATTCAGACACTTCTGATTACAGCAGACTACTGTTTGAGCAATGTTGACCAAAGTGTCCACTTGTATACATTTCTTTGTACCTCCAGTGTATCTATGATTCCAGGGTAACAAAACCTTAACTGTAATTGATAGATTGCTGGAGGCTCAGCATAGACAACTCTGACAGTGGAAAACCCAGGGGACCCAGTCATACCAGCCTGATATTATTGTGAGATTTACCTTCAGGAGCTTGGCCAGGTTCCCACAGAAAATATGTGGACAGAAATCCTCTCAGGCTTCCAGCAAGTGGAGAAGTAAAACAGCCATTTTGAAATACTAAGTCAGAGCATTTGAGTCTTTAAAAGGCCTGCCCTCAGGGGAAACTAATTATGCAGAGCCAAACCGCTGAAGGATTAGATTAGCAGAGCCTAACTCACCTGGGGGAGGGATATATCCAACTGTAGCCCATTCTTCCCATCTTGTACTAACCTAAGGGGGAGGAAAAAAAAAAAAAACAAAAAAAAAAAAACACTGAAAAAATTTTGAAACGTTCACAGTCCAGAGGCACAGGCTCACTAACAGACTAAGACCTAATCATAGGACAGTAGCATGTCTCCCCTCCCCTCCACTTCACCACCACAGCACTAAAGGCTATTTACAGCAGTTCCTTTTACCCCATATATCATGTCCAGCTGTCAAGACTAAATCAAGTCAAACCAATAAGCAAAACACACAGTTTGAAGAGACAGAGGAAGCATCAGAGCCAGACGTGGCAGAGATATTGGAATTATCAGACCAGGAATATAAAACAACTATGATGAATATGCTAGGCTTCTAATGGATAAAGTAGACAACATGTATAAACAGATGCACAACGTAAGCAGGGAGATGGAAATCCTAAGAAAGAACCAAAAGGAAATGCTGGAGTTAAAAAAACAAACCCACTGTAACAGACGTGAAAAATGCCTTTGATGGGCTCATCAGTAGATTGAACATGGCTCAGGAAAAATCTCTGAGCTGGGGGATATATCAATAAAATTCTTGAAAACTGAAAAGCAAAGAGAACAAGGACTGAAATAAAACACAACAATATATTGAAGGACTGTGGGACAACTATAAAATGTAGAACATATGCATGTGGGAATACCAGAAAAAGAACAGAAGAAATATTTGAAACATTGATGACAGAATCTCCCCCAAATTAATGTCCAACAGCAACCATCGAGCCAGGAAATTCAGAAAACACTAAACAGGATAAATGCCAAAAAATGAAAAAACAAAAACAAAAAATACATGCACTTAGACATATGTCATCTTTAAACTACATAAACTCAAAGATAAAGAAAAAATTCTGAAGGGAGCCAGCAGGGTGGGAAACCTTACCTATAGAAGACCAAAGAATAAAATGACATCCAAATTCTCCTCTGAAATCAAGCAAGCAAGAAGAGAATGGAGTGAAACATGTAACGTTCTTGGAAGTAAAATATACCAACCTAGAAACCTGTGCCATATAAAATTATTCTTCAAAAATGAAGGAGAAATAAAGACCTCAGACAAACAAAAATTGAGGGAATTTGTTGTCAGTAGATCTTGTCTTGCAAGAATTGTTAAAAGAAGTTCTTTAGAGAGAAGAAAAATATCAGTTAGAAATTCAGATCTACATAAAGAAGAGAATTTAAGAAAGAACAAGTGAAGGTAAAATAAAAACTTATTTTCTTATTTATAGTTGATTTAATAGAAAATAATTACTTCAAAATAATAATGCCAAAAATGTATTTGATTACATATATATTTTTATGTATTATATATATATATATATATATATATATATATATATATATATGTATGTATAATGAACGACAGCATTGATGCAAGGTACAGGAAGGCGGAATTAATATTATTTTTGTTATTAGGAGGTACTCACACTAACTGCCAAATGGTATTGTGTTATTTAAAAGTGGACTTGAATTATTATAGTTGTAAGTGTACTTTGCAAACTCTAGGTCAACCACTAAAAAAAAGTTTAAAAATGAAGGATAATCAATACCTAAGAAAAGAGAAAAAAGTGGAATCATATGAAATGCTGCATTAAAACGACAAAAGCAGGAAAAAAATGGAAGACAAAAGCTATTTTTCAGAGTCCAGTGAAAATCAGGTCATTTTAGCAAACAGCAGGGTGAATAGATTGAGCTAGTTTTAACAACAGTGAGGATAGAATATATTTTACTTATTTCTCAACATCCATCACAGCATAAGTTCCCTTGGAAAGATGCTTTATGATCTTGTACTCATCAGCTAAAAGGGTTAAACTCTAAATAGCACATCTACAGAAAAGTCAGATGTTTTAAAGTTTAAAATTAAATTACTTTATCCAACAACAACAGAATATACATTTTTGTCCAGCTCACATGGAATATTCACCAAGATAGACCACATTCTGGGCCATTAAACACACATAAACAAATGAAAAAGAGTAGAAATTATACAATCTCTGTTTCCAGATTATAATAGAATTAAACTAGAAATCAATAACCTAAAAATAACTGGAAAATCCCCACATATATGGAGAGTAAACAACACACTTCTGAGTAACACATGTGTCAAAGAAAAAAACATTCAAGAGAAATTTAAAATCTATGTATGGTGAACTAAATGAAAATGAAAAACACAATTTATCAAAATTTTTGGGATGCAGCAAAAGAGTGTTTCGAGGGAAATTCATAGCATTGAATGCCAAATTAGAGAAGAATGAAGATCTAAAATCAATATCCTTAGTTTATACCTTAGGAAACTAAAAAAAGAAGAGCAAATTAAATCCAAAATAAGCAGAAGAAAAGAAATAATAAGAATTGGAGCAGGAATCAATGAAATTAAAACAGGAAATCAATAGAGACAAATCAACAAAATCAAAAGCCTTTTTTTTGAAAAGATCAAAAAAATCGACAGTCTTCTAGCCAGGCTACCTAAGAAAAAAGGGAGAAGTCACAAATTACTAATATCAGAAATGAAAGAGAGGACATCACTACGTATCCCATGGAAATCAAAAGGATAATAAAGTAATACTATAAACAACTGTAGCCCACAAATTTATTAACCTAGATGAAATAGACCAATTTCTTAAAAGACACCATCTGCCAAAAATCCACACAAGAAGAAAAAGGTAATCTGAATAGTTCGAAAACTATTAAAAATTTTGAATCAATAATTAATAACCATCCGAAACAGGAAGCATCAGGCCCAGATGGATTCACTGCTAAATTCTACAAAATATCTAAGGAAGAAATCATACCAATTCTCTATAATCTTTCTCAGAGGGTAGAAGCAGAGGGAATACTTCCTAACTCATTCTATGAGGCCAGCATTACCCTAATACCAAAACCAGATAAAGACATTACAAGAAAGCTACAAACCAACGTCTCTTGTTAACATAGATGCAAAAACCTTAACACTATATCAGCAAACCAAATCCAAAAAAAATTAAAAAGAATTATACACCATGGGATTTATTTCAAGTAGAGGCTCCCAATTTGGGTCCAGCCTAATCTTCAGTAATAAAGGCTGCTTTCTGCATCTTAAATCTACCAGCTTCTGGTCCTTGGGCCTTCATGAGCACTGTTCTTTCTGCCTGGGACGCTCCCACTCCACCCTGCCAGGAAGCACCTAGCTTAGTGGCTCTCAGGCTTCGATGAGCATTAGAATCACCCGAAAAGCCAGCAAAGCACACAGAGATAACTGTAGATTCACACGCAGCTGTAAAAACTAACAGAGACTTTTTGTGCACTGCTCAGTGTCCCCCAGTAGTGACACTCAAGATTATTACAAACTGTCACCACCGGGACACTGACATCACCTTATTCATATTTCCCCAGGTTTGCGTGTCCTCATGTATGCGTGTGGTGTGTGTGTGTGCGCGTGTATGCGTGTGGTGTGTGCGTGTGTGCGTGTGTGGTGTGTGTGTGTGTGTGTGTGTGGTGTGGTGTGTGTGTGTGTGTGTGTGCGCGCGTGTGTGGTGTGTGTGTGGTGGTGTGTGTGTGTGCGCGCGTGCGTGCACGTGTGTGCGTGTGGTGTGTGTGTGTGTGTGTGTGTGTGTTCCATTCTGTACTACTTTACCGCATGTGTAGTTTTGTGTACCCACCACCAGTTCTGATACTGGATATTGGTCCAGCTGTAATGCCACAACGTAACGCCTGCTGCCCTTTTAAATTAGTGTTTGGCAGAGGTTGGGGAAGCTGCAGGTAGTCAGGACTTTGATTTTTTTTTTGTATTGATTTTATTTTTTAAATTAGTATTATTATTTTTTCAGTTCATTTGACCTTCAGTATTATTTTACATTAGTTTCAGGTGTACAGCATAGGGATCACTGCATAAATTAAGTGTCTAACCAGAGCTTGCACTTTGGACAAGTACTCTAGGAGATTGAGATACTCACCGAAGGTGGAGAGCCAGTGGCTTTGCTACTTCCCACTCATGCTCCAATGTTCAGTTTAGTCAGGTTTAAGTTAATTCCAGACTCTGATTCATTCCCCCGTTATACAACCCCATAGCAACCTCACTTTTGAGAAACACTCCACACACGTACAATTTTTGTCCAGCCTCTGTCTTTCCTGAATAAGCTACAAGCATTATTCTTAGTGATTAACCTGCCTAGCCCCAAAGACTTTTCAGGCAAAACCTGATGCAAAACCTCGGCTGTCTGGATCTAAAACATGTGTAGCCAATCACTGTGCAATACCTCACCCCCCAGGCTGTGGGCAGCCAATGGCAATATTCCCCAAGTCCTCTCCCAGTTAATATTCTAACGTGTTTTTTTTTCAATTTTGTTAGCAGTTTTCATTCCATACACTGAAACCTTTTCTGGCTTGAAGAGTTTATATCAGCTACACATAATTCTTATATTCCACATGCTTTTCCCACATACACAATTTCCATACACCATATACATTTTTATATGAGTGTGTATGTGCACATGTGTGTGTGTTTGCACATATGCACATATTTAACATACTGTAAGAAATGAATAGACTCAAACTATGGAATATGGAGTCCATGGTCCCATATCACTTTCCCTTTTAAAATGGTCTTACTCAGCTTGTAAAAACCTCTTTCCATGCTCATATCCTTCACAGCATCAATAATCTTCCTACTCTAACCACAGTCACACTCCTTCCCTTCCCTTTGTAGTTCAAATAGCTGAAAGGATACGGGGCCTCATGCAGGTCTAGCACCGGGCTGATTCACTGGGCTTCCAAGATGCAAGTAGCAGAGGTGGGACCCAAACAAATTAAAGTGCCAACACATCAACCCAGCTTTCGCTGGTTTGGACTCCAAATCAGATTTCAAGGAAGGGTCTGATTCTTGTGAAGCTCCTTATTTGTGCAGACTTGTAGCTGAGTTGAATCTTGATGTTCTGATTATTGTTTTCTTTGTTCTCTTCCATAGGTACTCTCTGCTACTGTGGAATGGAAGAAAGAAGACAGTGATAAAATAATCTAATCCACTGGTTTTCAAACTTGCCCGTGCATCGGCATTGCCTGGATGGTTGATTAAAACATGAATGCTGGGCCCCACTCCCAGAACACCTGATTCTGTAGGCTGGGCCTGGGCTGGAGAATTTGCATTTCTAACAAGTTCCCAGGTGATGCTGTTGCTGCTGCAGGCCCTGCCTACCACACTTTGAGAACTACTGGTCTAATATAATCAGGAGCCAATCAGGCAACACTGATCCCTCCTACTTGATTCCAAATATGCTGGTTGCAAAGTGTCAGTCTGAGATTAAGCTCCCAGGAGTCTACATATTGTTTTATAAAGGGTTGAGACAGCGTTGAATTAGGAAATGTCACATTATTACTCAAACTCCCAGTTTCTTCTTCAGAAAAAAAAAGGACAAATAGATCCGGTAACATAAGGTCCTCCCTTTCTCATAGCACCAATGGGATGGGGCTGACCAACGTGCCTTTAGAACTGGGCTTCTTCAACTTGGCTTCATGTTTTAATAACCTGGGAAGCTTTTTTTTTTTTTTAAAATTTTTTTTGGGGAATTGGGGGATGGGAATAGCACTGGGGAACTGGGGGAAGGGGAACAGACAAGTTGCTGTTGTTTTGTTCTTCAATCTAGTTGTGGAGGACGTTGCTTCACTGGCCCAAGTTGGCACCATCATTGTGCTCTTCCCGGGCGAGGCACATCAGTCGTCGTCTTCTGGACGGCCGCTCACTGCGGCTGCTGGCCGCTCACGCTGGCTGCTGGCCACACACGGTAGCCCATGGCAACCCACTGCCGCAGGGGCTGCAGCCTACGCCATCGCCGGCGACTCACAGCAGCCCAGCTCCAGGTTGAGCTGTTGTTCAGCATCTTAGCTGTGGAGGGCAGTGTCAGTGGCCCTCATATGTGGGATCCGAACCGGGGCCCTCTGGCATCCCAAGCGAGTTCTTAACCATCGCGCCACTCGGCCGGCCCCTGGGAAGCTTTTAACAATCGCAATGCCCAGGCGGCATCTCAGCCCAGTTACATCAGTATGTCTGGGGTGGCACCTACCTCTTGTATAAAATGGCACGTGGAGAACTCTACCACCTAGGATCACTGTGAGGAATAAATTCTATAGCAAGAACTACAGATATGGATTCCATTATTTACTGAGCAATTACTCCGTGTCAGGTACTGTATTAAGTCATTTACAAAAATTATTATATTTAAAGCTCCCCTAGAAAACTGAGCATTGAACAGGCGCCAGTGCTCAAAGGAGGAATTTATAGAATGAATCTATCATATAGAAGGAAGGGAGTGTATGAGAGTTACTTAGGAAAAGAAAATAAGTTGAATTTATTTAAAACCTTGTTTTACCACTGACCAGCTGCATCATGGTGGGAAAAGAAACAATCTGTTTACATGTGGTTTCAGTTTCCTCAGTTGAAAAATGGAGATAATATCATCTGCCTCCTTGAGTTAGAGCATTAAATCATTTCATTTACTGTATGTGGGCTTCGGTTTCAGCTCTGACATGAGAAAAACTTGGAATTCATCATTCTCATCCTTACAATAGGAGAAAGCTAGGTATAAACCAGTGGCTTTTGTTAGACCCATCAGAGAACTGAGGTTGCAAGGAAAAACACCACCCTGAAATCTAGAAAGCAGGGTACATACGGAGGGTCAATGCTAATATCTGCCCACCTGGAACAGAAGCTACTGGGGCTGCAAACTCTTAGAAACACACACACACACACACACACACACACACACACACACTAATGGTGATGGCTTGCTGGAGGCTAGGCATGTTATAATAATACTGACATAAAAAGAGCCCGGAAGCATTCCTCCTTGTAATTCTTCTGAAAGACTTTGTTTAGGACTGGAATTTATTTCTTTTTTAAATGCTTGATAGACTCCACCAGTGAAGTCATCTGGGCCTAGACATTTATTTGTGAGAATTCATGTAGCTTTTTTTCCCCGCCCTTAGGGGAGAACACACGTCCTGGTCTTCATTTCCTAGAACACCATAAGGTTCTCAAGGTACAGTTCCAAGAAAGCTTCTCTCCTCCCTCTGAGAGAGGGAGGGGAAGAGTAATCATTGTAAGTGTGTAACAAAGGCCTACTCTTCAGGGGAAACTATTTTCAGAGCTTTACATCAACTTGGAGAAGGGCATTTCTCCCATTCAACTACTCTCTTGCCATATTATCTCACCTAAAGGGCTAAAAACTTTATCTACGTGGCTCAGAGATTCAAGGAAATTGATTTAGAACTCTGAAGCCAGGGAAAGAGTAGGAAGAAGGAGATAAAACAGCTCTAGCACTAAGTAAACATTTGTGGAAGTTACAGCCCAGGGACATGGGCCCACTAAGAGCCTTACTCAGAAGACTGTAGCATCTTCCCTTCCCCCACACCTTATCACCACATCACTAGGGTTCCAATTTAATAATAGTGTCTTATAGCTGGAAGAGTTGCAAGATGCAAACTCTCTAGGGTGGTGGATTTAGGAAAGCTCAATGTCAAAAAGAAGACAAAACAAGGATACTAGAGGAACTTCAATCGTCAGGCATCTATAGCTGCAAAAAGTATTAAATGCAGCCCAGCTTCCAGCCAGATTTCCATGAAATATCACACTAAAGGCCTATTTATCTCAATTGCTAGTACTCAGTGTGACGTGCCTGACTTTCAACAACAAAAAATTATAATAAGGCCTACCAAAAACAAGGAAAAGCACAGTCTTAAGAAACAAAGCAAGCATCAGGATCAGACTCAAGTGTTGGAATTATAAGAGAATTTAAAATAACTGTGATTAATATGACAAGAGCCCTAATAGAAAAAGTAGACAACATGCAAGAACAGAAGGAGAAGGGAAATAGAGATGAGAATGCTAAGAAATAATCTAAAGAAAATGCTAGAAATAAAAACCACATTAACAAAAGTGATTTAATATACTGGAACATTTATAATGTTCAAAACAGTACCTGTCACATAATAAAAGCAGGGTACATGTTAGCTATTTAGGGGAAACCTGAAAAGCCCTCATGAGGAATAACAAGGCATCGGGAAGCAGTGAAGCGTTGTTTTAATCACAGAAGCAAGGCAAGTCAAGAACATAATGGGAATTTTACCGGAAGACTTGCTTCTTCAATGTTATGGACCAAATTTTTGTGCCCCCCTCACCCCCCCACCCTACCCCTCACAAATTCTCATGTCAAAACTTAGTCTCCAATGTGACTGTATTTGGACATAAGGCCTTTAAGGAGTTAGTTAAGGTTAAGTGAGGTCAGAAAAGTGGGGTCCTAATCCACTTTTAAACTGGGGTCCTTATGGAAGAAAAAGAAACACCAGGGATGCTTGTGCAGAGAGAAAAGTCCCTGTGAGGACACAGTGAGATGCTCATCTGCAAGTCAAGGAGAGAGGCCTCAGAGAAAATCAACCATGCTGACACCTTGATCTTGGACTTCCAGCCTCCAGAACTGTGAGAAACAAATTGCTGTTGTTTAAGACACCCATTCTGTGGTGTTTTATTAAGGCAGCCCTAGCCGATTAATACATTCAAGAAATGCTATACATACCATCCCCAGTCATTAGGATAGTCATTTACAAGTAAGAAGGAACATGCAAATGAGCTAAGGAGACATCAGACACTGCTCCACATACATTCTAGCTAGTGCCATTTAGGAGGAGTATTTGGGGAGGAATTTGAATGTGGTTTGTGCTGGTAAAAAAATATGAAGATATGATGAACTGAAAAAGAGTGAAATGGAGTTAAAGAAGAAAAAACAAGAAAACAATAGAACAGAATATTTAAAACAATAATATAAGAAACCTGTCCAGGGGCCGGCCAAGTGGCGAGTTGGTTAAGAGCTGGCTTGGGACGCCAGAGGTCCCCGGTTCGGATCCCACATATGAGGGCCAGAGATACTGCCCTCTATAGCTAAGATGCTGAACAACAGCTCGACCTGGAGCTGGGCTGCTGTGAGTTGCCAGCAACTGCAGGTGAGTTGCCATGGGCTACCATGTGTAGCCAGCAGCCAGCGTAAGCAGCCAGCAGCCGCTGTGAGCGGCCGTCCAGAAGTCAGCAACTGATCTGCCTTGCCCGGGAAGAGCGCAATGATGGTGTCAACTTGGGCCAGTGAAGCAACGTCCTCCACAACTAGACGGAAGAACAAAAGGATAGCAACTTGTCTGTTCCCCTTCCCCCAATTCCCCAGTAAAAATCTTTAAAACAAAAAGAAAAAAAAAGAAACCTTTCCATGAATATAAGAAGATTTGAATGTACATATTTAAAGGGCCTATAGCATAGCTGTTAAATTTAACCAAGAATAATCAACTCCAAGACATATCCTAGTCAGAAATAGCCTGATGGAATCTTAATTGTGGTTGTATTGAATCTGTAGACAAATTTGAGAATCACCATACTAGCAACATTGAATGTTTTAATCCATAAATATGG